ACAGGAGCTCCATCTTCTGCTAGCATTAGTTTATGTCTCATCATCATGGCACACAGGTGTAACCCATAAGTGCTCCGTTTCTCTTCTAATTCGTCTGAGTCTGAACAATCTCAGCGCAGTGCACGAACTCTGTTGCTCTGGCGAGGATCCTGAAAAATTCTTGGGTAGATTTCAAACTCCAAATTTTGTCCCGGCAGCGCCGTTAGGCTATTCTTTTCGATTTCTAACTGCCAAAGGATTTTCTACATTCGCCACAATATACACGGACGTCTGGTCTTACTACCCAGAGACCGGGAGGAGGGGGGGGGGGAGTACTATAGGTTCACGTGAGAAACTGCCAACCCTTCCCGCGGCTTGAACCTCGGACCTCTAGCCCGCAAGGCGGACACCGTGCCTCGAGACAACGCAGCGACCCCACCCCCCCCCCTCCCCGCTCCGCTAGCATTAGTCAATTTATTAAAACCGCTCCAGTAAAGACTCGCTCGTGACCACCACACCGAAACGCATGCGTGTTAGGCCATCAGGGGCGCAAGAAACTGTTGGCGTTTAGGGTTCCCTCGCCCCACGCCCTTTTTAAAAATAAAATTGCAAGGGAACATTATAACTGCATTGACATTTTTAAAAGTATATCTCTGTGAATTTCAAATTATTTTAAATATATTTCTACATTTTTTTGGGTCATTCAGCACATTATTATTATTATTATTACTATTATTATTATTATTACTATTATTATTATTAATGAATTATTATTTTCCGCGTGGGTTATGGTGCTCCATTGAAGGGAAAACAATAAGAGACCCACTTCCTCCCTTACAAGCAAGTCGTAAGAGTCGATAATTAGGGGCTACCTTCGAAGTCGGACTGCATTTGCCTAAGAGGCAAGAAACTGACAGTCTGCATTCTAGATCTGTAAAATGGATGTGCACGGAACACTCAGATTCTGGAACAAGACTAAAGTCTAGAAGTGGACGAACCATCAAATCCTTTTACCAGAATTAACAGCTGGTGAACTCGAAGAAGGAGAAGAAGGTTTATTATTACCATTTTTACATAGTTAAATACAGCTTAGGCCCTAGAACCCTAGAGCGACGCCCCTGGTAATGTTTAAGGGTGCCGAGGTCTACCTCCATCCTAATATTTTCGTTAGCAGGAAAATTAGGTATTATGTGTATAATAGATTTTTTTTTCTATGACTAGTGATCAGATTGGTTATTTCTAAATTTGCTCCGCAAACCAAGAAAAGGTTGGCCACCCTTGCTTAAGATATTTCTGTCCGTATATCCTTCTCGAACTTGTATCACCGGGGAAGTTATTGTTTATTATACCCACAATAAAATAAAATAAAAATATTTTAATATTATAGAAGCCTGTGACAAAAAAAAAAAAAAAAAAAAAAATTAATTTGTTAATTATCAACTACACTCTGTACTAGATATTTAGCAAAGAAAAACAATATGGCTACCACACAAGGACGTCACGCGGTAATCGTATTACTGTGTATTGTGTTCTGTAACGTCACACTTTCTCAGACTCAAAATGACAACAACTTCAAAATCAACGACATTGGTAATACCAACAGTAGCAGCAACAGTGCTGAAAGTACAATCAGCAAGAGAAGCAGCAACAGCAGCAGCGGCGGCAATGTATGGATAACTAGCAGTACGAACTGTTCGTGCACGAGAGAGTTGTCGGCCCTGAAGAGAGACTTACGTGAGGAGGTAAGAAGTGGTCATTCAATATTCACTTTTTGATTTGTTATAGTAAAAAATGAATGAATGAATGATTGAAGAATTGACATCACTGACCTTGGGAAATTTCCACACGTGCTCCATTTACTTTCTCAAAAGCTAATAAAGTTTTCCCATATTAGTGGTACAGTTACAGAATAGAAGATTAGAAGTCCGCATTTGCCTCCCCCACGCTCACCGTGGATCGGAAGGTCGTGGGTTCGCTCGCTGGAGAAGCTGGACTTTTTTCAAGAATGACCTTGGCTTCCAGGTCGACCTAACCTTGAGTGGGTACCGGGTGCAGTCCCGGGAAGTAGAGCCGGCTGGCGTGATGCTGACCAAATCACCCATCTTGTGCGGATTGGTCTATAAAAATATAGGTCCAGCCCTATATGCCCTACACGCCTAAAGCCGTGGAAAAGGGTTCTTTACCTTTACTTTTATTTGCTTCCCCTCTATTGAATATCTTCTAGAACCTCTGCTCTCTCACCCGCACCCCACCCGATGAATTAGACTTTCAAGTTAAAGATACCCTCTTATGCTGCACTGTCTATTTCGTCCTCACAACGTCAGCAACCTAATAAATATCCTACCACACAGAAGAGCGGCAGCAGACCATCTATCCTGCTGCTCGTTGCCCCGCACTACCACATCTCCTGAACAGAAAATCCACTATATGCTTGTGATCTGAGTCTCATCAAGCGATGCAAGCCATTAACTATAAGGATCAGTCAGTGAGATACCCTACTGCATTGGCCAACCGTGCATTGGACTGCTATACTAGCCGCTTACATTTTATATTAAAAAAAAAAAAAAAAGATTCATTATTTTACTATTTAGTATTGTTGTTTACTATTTATTACAAACACGCCACTCCGTTTACGTCTCGAGCATAGCCAAAATAACGATCGCTGCATTCTTACCTCACTCATACAGAAACTGTAATGTGTGAAAGCTAGCAGTTACTATTACTACGAAGCAAGCTGCGCACGCATGCTCCGTAAACAACTAAGCGACAAGGTGGAACATATCACGCGATACCCTCTTCAGTGTAAACGTTACCTACTAAGGCTAACATGTGTGAATTGATCACTCCTTGCTACTTCTATCTTCACAACATGTAATGCATCTTCCCCACCCTGCTTTTTGCCTAGGTTAAATGCTCTTGACGAACTGATATTCTGTTATTGCTTGATACATTTCTACTTGAATTGCTGTTCATCTTGGACTTGGGTTTTCCGAAGAGGAAAAACAAAAGTAAAACTCCGACCACGTTCAACAGTCTTCGACGATAAGCTTTGGTTATAATTGTTGCTGTAAGTTTTGGTTTTTGTCTGCCTTTTGTTCGCCTGTCTTTAACTGTATCTGCTGCATGTTTTTTTTTCTTTTTCTTGTTTGTTCATGAGGCTGTTAAGTATGGCGGAAGCTCTTGGCTGGTCGTTTTAAGCCATTCATACAGGCTTGGCGCCTGATTTTTGACTGTATATTAGTTTTTATTGGCTCATTTGTGTGCAGTTGGTTGTTCCTGGCCGCTCGGGCAGATGCACTCCGACTTAGAAGGAAGCTCCCAGTTAGTTCACTCCTGCGACATGCTTGTTGGGAAGGCAGTGGGTCTATTCTTGTTTTTCCCACAATAGGGCTCCAAAAACCACACGTGGAGCATGGTTTTTATAAGAGTGTTATGTTTTTTAAATTCTTCTTAAAGTCTATGCCGTGTGGCGTTGGTAGTCATGTCTATCCACAACCTTCTGTCTCATGTTCAACCAACTCTGACATAGATTTGCTCCCTGCCATGATGTCAAACTGTCCAGCATCTTTTATCTCGGTCTCTCTCTTTCTCTCTCTCTCTCTCTCTCTCTCTCTCTCTCTCTCTCTCTCTCTCTCTGTCCTGCCCTCCAACTTTTCAACTGTGACGATGTATTCAATTTTTACCCTTCTCTCTTTCTGATGTGGGCAATCACTTGTTATGTCTTTTAATGTGGCCAAAATATTGTGTCTGTATCTATTGTCCTTCTTCAACTCGTTTAGTCTTAGGCTGTTGTTACTTCAGCATTGTCTATCATGTTGTTGTTGCTGTTTTTTTTTTTAAATCTTAGAACAACTATTTGTTTTTAAGTAGTGCGTAAATGAAAAATGTAGCTGTGAGACTGAATGAGTCTGACAGACTGACCTCTTACCCCACCTTGACATCACACGGAGCGATAAACACCCGGCGACACAAAGCACCACCATCCGGACGAGAATCACCCGGGGACAGGTCCCAGAAATTAGGGCCCTCGACCCCAGCCGGTGTGGGACTTCAAAATAACAAGAAACTGCGACCCACATGGGGACCGACTTTAAGAGACAGAATGAGTTTTAGAAATACTTGATACAGAGTTGGTTCAGGAAAAGATAACCATGGCAACAAATGCAACTGTCGCAGTCATGCTGTAAATGGGCACAATACATTTACATCTTCGGATGAACGCATAAGACAAAGAAGAGAAGAAAAAGAAAAAGAACTGGTAAACATAACTGAAGTAACATACAAAGCACAGAAGTGTCCATGATATAACCAGTAGCATATGATCGCGGCGTCACTTCAACGTCCCGACCACATACATATTTTCTATGCAAAAAGGTGATGGGACATAAGGGGACAAATCGTAGCTTAAGAGCATAATAATAATAATAATAGTAATTAATACAAGTAAAGGATCCTTTTCCACGCTTTTCATGTGTATTGGGTATATAGGGCTAGACCTATATTTTATAGACCAAACAGCACTTGCTGGGTGATGTGGTCAGCATCACACGGGCCGCCCCTTACTTCACAGGACTGTACCTTGAACCCATTCAAGGCTGGGTCGACCTGGGAGCCAAGGTCATTTTTGAAAAAAGTTCGGCCCCCTTCAGGAACCGAACCTACGACCTATCAATCCGCAGGCGGCTCCCCAATAATAATAATAATAATAATAATAATAATAATAATAATAATAATAATAATAATAATAATAATAATATAATTGAAATAATATCAAATGCACAAACAAATAAGTTCAAAAATAATTTATATATGTGGTTAAAAAGGGCTGTTTAAACTATTTACACATGACGGGGGGGGGGGGGGGGGGGGGGGGGGGGTTCCAAAACCCTCCCCCAAATATAGGAGTAGAGCACCAAGGACATATTGACTTGAGCCTTTAGGATCCAGCGGTCACGCCTGCTGACTCTGATCGTCCTTGAACTTCCTTTAAACATGCTTCTATCTTTCCCAAACCATCACAGATCAATCAGAGGATGGCGCTGAAAACTAGCATGGATTCATATGTTGCTGAATTGTCTGAGCTGAAAGTGGCTGTGTTTGGCAACACTAGTAGAGCTACTGTAGGTAAGTACGCATTTGTAGCAGCAGTAATTATAGTAGTAGTAGTTGTAGTAGTAGTAGCAGCAGCAGTAGTAATAGTCGTAGCAGCAGCAGCAGTAGCAGTATTAGTAGTAAAAATAGAAGTAGTAGTAATAATAACTGTAGTTGCAGCATTAGTTAAAGCAGCAGCAGTCAGTAGCAGCAGTAGTAGTAGCAGTAGTAGTAGTAACAGTAGCAGTAGTAGCATTAGCAGCAGCAACAGTAGTAGTAGCACCCGTAGTAGTAATAGTAGCAGCAGCAGTAATAGTAGCAGCAAATGCAACAGCAGCAATAGTGTTAACAGCAGCAGCAGTAGTAGTAGTAGTAGTAGTAGCAGCAGCAGCAGTAACAGCGGTAGAAGTAGTAGTAATAACACTAGTAGTAGCCCTCCCCCCCCCCCCCCCCGTGTGGGTTCCGGGGCCCCATTATAGGGAAAACAAGAATAGACCCACTGCCTCCCCAAAAAGCATGTTGTAAGAGTCGACTAACTGGGAGCTTCCTTTGAAGTCGGAGTGCATCTGCCTGAGAGGCAAGGAACCAGCAATCTGCATACAAATAAGTCAGATCTGTAAAACGGATGCACACGCAAAACTCAGGTCCTGGAACAAAGCCAAAGTCTAGAAATGGATGAACAACCAGGTCTTTCCACTGGAGTTTATAGCCGGTGAATGCAAACAAACAACAACAACTAGTAGTAGTAATAGTAGCAGCAGCAGTAATAGTAGCAGCAGCAGTAATAGTAGCGGCAGCAGTAATAGTAGCAGCAGCAGTAATAGTAGCGGCAGCAGTAATAGTAGCAGCAGCAGTAATAGTAGCGGCAGCAGTAATAGTAGCAGCAGCAAAGGCAGCAGCAGCAAGTCGTAGTAGTTCCCTCACAGATGACTCCTTGTGGGTTTTAGGACCCGATTGTTATTAGGGGAAGGGGTGGGGGAGGGTGTGTGAAGCATGTCGTAAGAACTAATTAGGGATTTCTGTTGAAATCGGAGTGCATCTGCATGAGAGGCCAGGAACCATCAGTCTGCTTACAAATAAGCCAGATCTGTAAACCGGATGTGCATGCCGAACACACGTTCTGGAAAAAGACGAAAATTCCAGAAGTGAACGCTAAGCAGAGAAATAAGAGGGTTCCGTTGCAGTGTTTACTGAAAGAATCTGCAGAAAGCAATGTTTATGTTAATTTCAAACCCCCCCCCCCCTTTCCCCCCCCCCCCCCCCCCAACTAGAGGGCGCTGCAGTTGTGTAAAGAATCCTGGCAAGGCAGACTGTGAACTCCGTAACCAAATATAAACTGTAAGTAACGTAAAAAGTAAAAGACCCTTTTCAACGACTTAAGGGTATTGGGCATATAGGGCTAGACCTATATTTGTAGACCAGTTGGCACTGGATGGAGGATGTGGTCAAAATCACGCCGGTCGCCTTTACTTTCCAAGACTTAGTTGGTACCCATTCAAGACTGGGTTGATCGGGCTAGCCAAGGTCCTCATTTTTTTAAGAAAAAAAAAAGTTAAGATCCGAACCAACGATCTTCCGATCCGCAGGCAAAAGACTAACCTTAACACCACGCCGGCTCGCCTTACAACTCCTACTTTGATTAAAACTGTATTATTTTACTTTCAAGTCTATTGCCTAAAATATGAACCTCCTTATCAACGTTTAGCACCCAACGCACTAGCTGCAGCGACTCCCTCGGTGGCCTTCTCGTCCAAGCTGAGCTACAACCGAGAGCTGAAGCCCCTGGACACCGTCATCTTCGATACTATTCTCACCAACGACGGCAACGCTTATGACCCTGACACTGGAAAGTTCACAGCGGTGACCCCTGGCACGTATTTCTTCCACTCGACAATCCTGTCCGGCTACAACACAAAAGTAAGTGTTTTATCAATCAATTAATCAAACGACATCAGCACAAGGCAAGTTGCCTTGATGTTGTCATTCCAATTGTACCCTCTTTGTCTACCTCTGGCTTTTTGCGCTTCGAATTTCCACTCATCATCATCAGGTGCCTTGCCGACTGGCGTGTTCAATCATGCCTCTCCATAATCTGCGATCTCCTGCAGCATGTATCTGTTCGTGTGCCGACACACCTCCATGCCATGCAACAAGATTGTCAATCATCTTCTCTCGTTGTCTTCCTCTATCCCTCCTTCCACAAATCTTTCCAGTGGTCACAACATGTTCTATTTTTCCTCTTCTCATAACATGGCCGAAAAATGATGACTGTCTCCTTCTGATGTCTGTGATAAGTTGTCTTCGGGCTCCCGCCTCTTTCAAAACCTCTTGGTTGCGCTTTTTGGCTGTCCTATGTATTCTAAGCATTCTTCTGTAAAACCACATCCCTGAGGCCTCTAGAAATTGTTTGGCCTGCCTACCGATTGTTTAGGATTCACAGCTATATGTTAAAACTGGATGTATGTAGAAGGCAAGAATTCTTTTCTAACTTTCAATGACAAGGATAAATTGCACAAGATGTTTTTCATTTTATAAAATGCATTTTTTACTTGTCCCATTCTGTTTCTTATCTCAGTTATGCATCTTCCCGGGGTAGGAGCCTGTCCTACTACTAGGCGCGTCCACCAGGTGGCGGATGGTGGAAAGGCCTCTAGATATAGAGGTTAGCCACGAATATATTGAATAAGTGGCCGTGGACCAAAACAGGTGATGGTCATTAGGGGGAGGCGAGCTAGTTGGTGGGACAGCTAACTCTATAAAATACCTCAAAACTCTACGACATGGCCATCGGCGGGTAAGAGGCGCCATAACCTCTCGCCCTTGCTGCCTTGCAGGGTAGGTCTCTTTAGACAAAGGCTATTGGAGTCAAACCATATTCAAACCGGCGGGAGTCAAGGGGAAACCACCGCTGTACTATCGCTAGTAAATCATGCCTCAAAATAATAGGAATTTCCACTAAATCATGTGAACAGCCAGAAAGTACCCGCGCTGGTTTTGCAAAGCCGTGTTAAAAACGATTTAAACAAAAAGTGTCATGTCTTTTAATATTTTCGAAACGTTTAATTTGTCGTTTATATTTCTTTTAAGACCTATTATGTCGTTCCAATTTCAACGGAACCTCTGTATTTTTGTTGCTTGTTGTTGTTTATTTAGAAAATACAACCTGTATATCCCAAACTCATCGGAACCTCTGTATTTTTGCTGTTTGTTGTTGTTTATTTATGAAATACAACCTTTCTTCTGTATATCCCAATGTATTCGGAACCGCTGTATTCTTTTTTCTTTCTATCTATGAAATACAACTTTTCTTGTGAATATACAAATCTCCAGAGGCAATTCGATTTTCTATTTGCTTGTTCATCAATGCATAATTTATTTTGGGAGTTTAATAACAGTTGCGGCTGTTGCTTAATCCTTAGTAGAAAACTAGGGTAGAAAAAAGAGGGAGGGGGTGAAACGTTAACCACCCCAACTGAGGCTGTAAAGGAGGAGATCAGGTTTTATGGGGACCAATTTCTTGGCAACCGTTTTGAGGTAGGGCCTTCCTTAGCTTTTCGAGTCCCAAAGAACGCATCATACGTTCATAGGTTACTGCGTAGAAGCCCAATGAACGCATGATGCGCCGGTTTTACTCTCTTTTGACTACCCCTTGGGCCTGTGATGCTAAACACTCTGGGACTCAAAGTGTTAGACTTCTTGCAGATTGTAAGACCTTGAGCTTAAGTTGGCTGCGTACCCTTTTATAGGACGTTGTAGAACCAACCCCAGCATTTTTTTTTTTGGCTGTTGTGGTTTTTTTTTTCTAGCAAATTCACGTCCAGTAGTTTGCCACTGCTTTCAGGATGGTCAGCTTCTCGATACCACTTTCGAAATCAACGCAAGGTCCGCAGCTGGGATCAAACTCGGCTAAGTGCGTTCGCAACGCCTAAGTCACAGACGCCGTTAGTGTGACGAACGCTAGCTTATTCTAGTCTGCCATATTCTGACGATATAGTTGTGATCGTTGAAAATGAAACACAACTGTAAGCAAACAACTATGCATAGAATTGTAACGGAAAGTGGAAACAGGGGTCTTAGTTTGCAGAGCAGAAAAAGAGCTGTAATGGTAATTACAAAGAAAACTGACCCTCCATGGTAATTACAAAGAAAACTGACCCTCCATGGTTATTACAAAGAAAACTCCCCTCCATGGTAATTACAAAGAAAAATGACCCTCCGTGGTAATTACAAAAGAAAACTGACTCTCCATGGTAATTACAAAGAAAACTGACCCTTCATGGTAATTACAAAGAAAACTGACCCTCCATGGTAATTACAAAGAAAACGGACCCTCCATGGTAATTACAAAGAAAACTGACCCTCCATGGTAATTACAAAGAAAACTGACTCTCCATGGTTATTACAAAGAAAACTGACCCTCCATGGTAATTACAAAGAAAACTGACCCTCCATGGTAATTACAAAGAAAACTGACTCTCCATGGTAATTACAAAGAAAACTGACTCTCCATGGTAATTACAAAGAAAAATGACCCTCCATGGTAATTACAAAGAAAACTGACCCTCCATGGTAATTACAAAGAAAACTGACCCTCCAAAGTGCAACATCAAAGTAAGTGGGACAAATGTCAAGCAAGTTGATTTGATTAAGTAGTACTTGGGTACCCTGATAACATCAGATGGAAGATGTAATAAAGAAGTTAAATGTAGAACAGCTCAAACAAAGGCCGCATTTTACAAAATGAAGAATGGTGAAAATACCCTGGACAAACAGAAAGAGTCATGAGGATGTCTTGAAAGAAACTGACTCACGAAGAGAACTGATTGCCCACATCAGAAAGAGACAATCTACATTCTTTGGTCATGTGGTGAGAAAGAGAAAATTCATCGTGGGAGTAGGAAAGTTGGAGGAGAGGAGATGCAGAGGAAGACTGAGAGAAAAGATGCTGGACAGTTTGACATCGAGGCAGGAAGGATCATCTGTGTCAGAGCTTACGGAAAGTACACGAGGCAGAAGGTTGTGAAAAGACATGACTACCAACACCACACGTCATGGACCTGAAGAAGATGGCTAACGTTGCAAGTCATGGGGTGAACAGCAATTCTGGGGGAGGGGGGGGGGAGGGGCGGCCCGGGGGGGGGGGGCATAACGCCAAGAGGTGGACGCACCGGAATCTATATGATGTTATGTTTTCGCAGTCTACTTTATTGCACATTAAGTAAAATATATGTGCACACAAAACCGAAGAGAGCAAACAATCAAAACTTTCCGCAGGAGTTTACCGCTGGTGAACGCGAAGAAGAAGAAGAAAGTCTTCTAATTTGTCTCTTCCCAAATGTGAAAGTGTGGATCTGTATCATGGTTTGGGGCGTCGCAGGACGACCCAGTTTAAAATGGGTACCAGAATGGTTGTCCTGTGGAAGTAAAGACCGCTGGCGTAATTCTGACCACATTACCCACCTAGTGCCGATCGTCTGGGAAAAATATGGGTGCTTCTCCTATAGACCCGTTACGCTTAAAGGCGTGAAAAGAGATCTTTACTTTACTTTCACAGATGAGAAATTCCGGTGCCGATCCTGCATGTACCTTTGGTTTGTGAACTTGGTGTAGGGAACGAGAGCTCAGCATCAGAGCCCTTTAGGAATGATTACATCTCTACACAAGCTTTTCGTCGAACAAACAACCAGATACACATTGCATCAGTCGTCCAGTAGACCCATCGACCAGCCGAACATACAGTCAACCACAACCGTTTGTTTATTCGACGGATCAACATCATGGCACGAGGTGTAACCCATAAGTGCTCCGTTCTACTTCTAACTCAAGCCTGAGTATAAAGAACCTCAGCGCAGTGCACGAACTCTTTTGTACCGGTGAGGATCCTGAAATACTTACCCACCGTTCGTGAAAGCAATCAAAGAGGTATCCTATGCTGGTTATATTGAAGCATTGAGCTTTCAATGTGAAGTAAAAGTAAAGGAACTTGCACACGCATTCAGGCGTACTTGGTATATAAGGCTAGACCTGTATTTTGTAGACCAATCGGCACTCGGTGGTCGATGTGGTCAGCCTCACGCCGGCCGCATTTACCTTTCAGGATTTCACCGGATACCCTTTCAATTCTGGGAACCAATGTCATTTGTTTTTTTAAAAGTCCGGTACCTTTAGGACCTGAATCCACGACCTTTCGATCGGCAGGCGAACGTCTAGCCACTTCACTACGACAGCTCCGAGCTTATAATATGCAGTGACTTAATTTATGTTAACATAACGAATCAACAAACTAACTTTCTTATTTCATATACATTATTTCTTCTATCTCTTTACTGAACTCTTTTACTGGATATAATGTTGTTATTTTACGTGATTTAGTATTACGCATGCAATTAACTGCACACAATTTCTACTTGACTTCCCAGGTGGAGACAGCCATTATTGTCAACGACAAGGAAATTGCCCGGATTTACTCTGGCGCGCATGACGCTCACGGAAGCGGAAGTAACATGGCCATCGTGAACCTGCGCACTGGCGACTCCGTGTGGGTCCGTCTGCTGTACCAGGGCGGAAACCACGTGCATGGATACTACAGCACGTTCTCTGGGGCTTTGCTGAGGTCATCCGAACCTTGACGCAACATTTGGTTACCTTACATGTCTTTTTTAAGTGAATGCGAGGGAGAAAGATAATTAGGACATGTATTTCAAAGAAAACGCCATGAAAAAAAATCAACCTAAGCGAGAAGTAAAATTAGTCGGCCTCCCCATAAAATACAATCTCTAATGAAAAAATGAACGTTGCGGCTAGAAAGACTTCATCAGCATACAAAAGCATGAAAACATTGATATAACTATATAGAAGACTGCATATAATAATTGATGTTTTCGGAATAAAGCCGTCTGAGAGAGTGTACAATCAACAGAAATAGTTTTAGATTCTTTGAGCGTCTGATTGATATATTAACTATATTGACTGTCGAAATGTCCATTTAGTTTTGAAAACAAAGGCTGAAAAATTTTTTAGCAGAAAGAAAACAATACAAATTGAAAAATATTGTTTCGTTGATTTTGTTCATGAATGTTTTTCATCAACAATTACAGCATAGGTAAAATATCACGTGACGTGGCATAAGTTTACAAAGGGACGTCACTACTTTTATCTTTGTCCAAAAGTTGTGGGACATTTTATAGAAACATTATTAAACATTTTGTTGTCTGTTTGAATCCATACTTCTTGTGTTTTATTGTCGATACTTCGCTTGCTGTATTAATATTGACGACTGCCATGGATAGGCCATGACAGCAACTGTTACCTGGCCTATATTGAAGACTGTCATGGATAAACCATGACAGCAACTGTTACTTGGCCTATATTGACGACTCTCATGGATAAACCATGACAGCAACTGTTACTTGGCCTATATTGACGACTTCTTCTTCTTCTTCTTTCGTTCGCATGAAATAAATTGTCTATATCTGCAAAGCCGTCTCTTGTATGAATTTCACATATATTGACGACTGTCATGGATAAACCATGACAGCAGCTGTTACTTGGCCTATATTGAAGACTGTCATGGATAAACCATGACAGCAACCGTTACCTGGCCTATATTAAAGACGCAGGCTTTGATTTCGAGAATTCTCTACAATGGATGCTTTCATTTACACAGATGGGTCAGTAATTCGCCACGTGAGAAGCGCTTGGGCTTTTACAGCGCGGGCTGGAGTTAGAATTGTAAAGCAAGATTCTGGTGCTGTTGCACTGACCACAAATAGTCTGACTATGGATATCTTGGCAGTGACCGAAGCAATAACATGGATGGAGACACAAACCTGTTCATGCGCATGCTTTCTCACTGACAATGGAAGATAAAGAAGGGCTGGATCCGAAGACAGTGGTTGGAGTCTCTAAATTTGGTCGGAGTAGACACATATCAGTTTCATGATAGTGGCAGAGCACACAGGTGTGCAAGAAAATGAGCATGCTGATAGGCTAGCAGGTAAAGCTACTGTGGAGGGCTGATAGGCTAGCAGGTAAAGCTACTGTGGAGGGCTGATAGGCTAGCAGGTAAAGCTACTGTGGAGGGCTGATAGGCAAGCAGGTAAAGCTACTGTGGAGGGCTGATAGGCTAGCAGGTAAAGCTACTGTGGAGGGCTGATAGGCTAGCAGGTAAAGCTACTGTGGAGGGCTGATAGGCAAGCAGGTAAAGCTACTGTGGAGGGCTGATAGGCAAGCAGGTAAAGCTACTGTGGAGGGCTGATAGGCAAGCAGGTAAAGCTACTGTGGAGGGCTGATAGGCAAGCAGGTAAAGCTACTGTGGAGGGCTGATAGGCAAGCAGGTAAAGCTACTGTGGAGGGCTGATAGGCTAGTAGGTAAAGCTACTGTGGAGGGCCGACGAGCCATGGACTATGTTGATATTCTGAATTCTCTGTGAGATGAATGTGAATAGGCAACCATGACCAGACACATTCATCGATTTATGTAAAACAAAACACACACAGACACACACACATACACACACAAACGACCATGTTAAACCTACTGTAAGCAGTATCGGTTATAGCTGTGACCAGACTGCAATAACAACATGTTAAAAAAGGGGTGCGACCAGCAAGTGCGCTATACAGGAAGCCAAAGAAGAATAGAAAATCAAGACAAAACTGGTGTCTAACTTAGCTACACGTCTTGCGCTCGTAGAGAAATGTTCATGTCTGCCAGTTTCAGTTTGCAAACCCTTGCCGATATCCACCCATTGAAAGGGATACAACCTCGTGCTTATCCCAGTAACTATTTTGCGATGTGCATATCGCATGGCATTGATGGCATCGTTAATGTCCAAGGCCAAGCCATTCAAAGTAGCTGTGGTTTCCGCCAAATAGACTGCACGCTCGTTGCATCGAACCCTCGCATAGCTTGGCTCACAGATAAAGCAAGACCGTCTTCAATGTACTGAAGACTTCCTTGGATAAAGATTCAACGTTTCATTAACGATCCTTTTAATGTCACAACCCACCCACACCGAACTCCAGGTTACCTTCGTAGCCGCTTCATGATGACCCAGTATAACTGTGCCTTAAGGCGGCCATATTTTGAACGGTGTTTAGGCAATTTGTAGCTCTCTGATTCTCACCCTTGAGATGTTAATCATACAGACTGCAAATCTGGAGGGGAAAAACATCTTATTAATGAAACAGTTCATTCCTGTCTGATGAAGCCAGTGAGGATAGTCCTGGGTATATTTATAAAAGCAGAACTGATGATTCAGGTGGTAGTGATTTAGGTCGTGAAATAATGATTTCAGTTCTCTGCAGTCAACGTACTGAGTCTTGAGCCAAGATAGACGGTTACTTGGCATACCCACAAAATGCGAATCGGCACAAATGCGATCATGGCTAGACCCTAAATTTTTTACACAATAATAGTGGCTGCTTTTGGGATTATGCTAATAACCTTCTTTATTAGTCACTTGAAAAACAGACAGGGTTATACTCCGTTCACCTGGTTGGGTAAAGCGCACGTGCACTGGGTTAACAGCAGTCCAGGAAAGTTTCTAAATAAGCTTCAGCTTTAGACCCAACAGCTTAGTTAGTATTGTACCGTGCAACAATTTAGGGTAGTTTTAACTTAAAACTGCGGTTGTAGTTATAAGTTGTTGTACGCCAATGATATTGAACTTAACATTTACAAGTAATGATGTAGATTTTTATTTTTATTCTGAGCTGGACGATAACTCAAATATTCGACCCTGTTAGAAAGAGCTACAATCCTTACATCGGAAAAGTAAATTATAGTTCGTTCAACAACAGATAAACACACATGCAAGCTATTTTCTCCAAAAATCATGAAATTGGGTAGGTTTCCTTTGGCACCCTGTTAAATCAGTCATTGTGTGCATTACTTCCTGAAGCTAATGAAAGTAAACCTTCCAAAAGTCTACCAAGACGGTTTCATGACAAAAATATATATCGTAAAGTAGAAGAAAACTACATATGATATTCTTCTTTAGTTGAAAAATTATATTTCCTTAACGTAATGGATAATCTAAGGCTACATTTTAAAAAAAATCATTGCGATCTAACAGGCAGTTTTCGAGAAAATTGCTTGCAAGTGTGTTCATGAGATGTTGAACGAACTATACATGAGAGTACTTACTATTAGGTTAGTTACGTATGTTTAAAGCAGCGACAAAACGTGAAGACACAATCTGTTAAAGAATGTTGTCACTGGGCGGTGAATACATGAGGGAAAATGCCTTTTCGGGATTTCCGGCACTAAGCAAATATAAGAAGGCTAGACTAAAGACGGTAGACAACATAATTCAAAATTGTCTAAGCAGTCACGTGATTTAAGTCCAAATACGCAACAACTGTTTTAACGTTGATAATTACGTCAATCTTGGTAATGTAACAGTCACAAGTAGTATTCTTTCGGTGGTAGCCGTTCGAGAAAAAGACAAAAACAATTTTAACAACACAGTGTTTCAAGCAGACAACTAGACCAACTTCACAAAGATTTGTCGTTCACATTGGTCGGTGATTAAGACGAAAGGCGAGGCGAACTTCCCAAACGTTTCTACTATGTGGTAGAGATAAGAGAAGAACACCGCGGAACCAGTCAGTTACAAATAGTGAGACAATTTTCCTGTCGGTACAACACGGTAAGCAGTAAAAAGCACTTTAAAAACAAACCATAATTATGTTTTAGCGCTGCTGCAAGAGACATTTTGTGGTTAGTGCTGGTACATTAAAAAAACAAAACAAGTTGGGGTGAGTACCGGCACCTTATTTTAAGACAATTTGTGGTGTACTAGCATAGTTTTTATTGGTTTCGAGGAAAAGGGGGGGGGGAGGGGGGGGGGTGACGGTGGTAGAGGAGAAGCCTTGTGTAAATTTAAAAGAAAAAAAATGTTAGTTATATTATCTTACAGGTTATCACAAATAGTCCCTAGCGCTTGTTGTCTGTGGCTTGACAAGGCAGTTATATGTTCAGTACTCTGGTATTTTGTATAACCCGATGCCCGTACTATCTGAACGTGCTGGTTGGCTTCTTGTTTACATATGAAAGAAATCAGTATAGTAGTAGCATCGGGAGCCGTTGGGGTCTAGCGGTTAGACGCTCGCCTGCGGATCGGAAGATCGTGAGTTCGGGTCCTGACAGGAGCCAGACTATTTTTTTTCTTTCAAAAATGACCTTGTCTCCCAAGTCGACCCAGCCTTGAGTGGGTACCAGGTACAGTCCTGGGAAGTAAAGGCGTTCAGTGTGATGCTGATTACATTACCCACCAAGTGCAGTTTGGTCTATAAAATAAGGTCAGGTCCTATAAACCCAATTCGCATGAAGGTGTGAGTACTTACTATCGCTACCAATGGTAGCATTGGAGGTAAACTGGCCTGCGTGTTGTTGTTATTAAATGTTAACATTTTTTGCAAATTAATGCGACAGGTTACCCTAGTATCATCATCAGCAGGTTATCCTAGTATCATCATCACCAGGTTGTCCTAGTATCATCATCAGGCGTCTTGTTGATACAGTTTACAGTATGGATAATAAGCAAACGTACAATAATAATAAAATAAACTGAACTCCCATAAATATAATTTGATGAGAGACTGCTCTTCCTCTTCTTTCACCCCCTCCCCCCACCACATAAAAAAGCATGATGCAAAAATCGACCTACTAGGGGCTTGTCCTTTTAAAGTTGGAGTGCGAGGAACCAACAGTCTGCTGAAGTTTACAAGTGAAAGAACAACGAGAGCTTTCCATCGGAGTTTATAGCTCGTCAACACTAACAAGAGAAAGGTATTCTGTCATCGGCTGGCCGGTAGACGACTTCGGCTACGGTCGGGAGAGTATTTGGATCTGCATCTTTTGATTGCATTAACACTGCAGGGGTCTTTTTGAGTTCTACTTGGTGGCGATCACTGCTAAGCCTTTTTATATGGCGCACATAAATCTAGTCACAATTATAACCTAAAGTGTCCCCTTCTGGTTGAACGTGACGATGTTTTTTTTTAAGCAAGCGAAAGCAAAAAGTAATAATCTGTGGGTGGTATAAAAAGTAAAGGACCCTTTTCCATGCTATTAGGCATATTAGACATATTGTATACAGCGATCGAAACTCTGTGGGTGATTTAGTAAACTTCACACCGATCGCCTTTACTTTCCAGGTCTTTATCTGGTACGGATTTTAGGTCAAATCGATATGAGAGACAATGTCATTTTTGGAGAAAATCCAACTCAATGCAGATTTGAGCCTACAACCTTCGATCCCAAAGCGAGCGTCTAACCGCTACACCACAGCGGCTGCCCTATGTGTGGTGTAGTCAATAAAATATTTGCCAGGACATTTCTTGGTACTCATTTTAGGCCGAGTCGATCTAGAACAGTGGTTCACAGCCTCCCCAATGGCGAGACCCTTAAATACAGCTCTTCCTCTTGTGGTGACCCCCAACCATGCTATTGTTTTCGTTGCTACTTCATAACTTCAATGAATGTATGTTTTCTGATGATCTTTGGCGACCCCTGTGAAATAGTAGTTCGACCGGAAAAAAAAGGTCGCGACCCACAAGTTGAGAATCCCTGAAAGCTTGTTACGTATCTTTTGCGAGATTTGCAGAACCAGCTGCCTAATTTTTTTGGGGGTAGGATTTTTTTGATAGACAATTTTACGTACAGTAGTTTGCCATTGCTCACTGAAAGTTCGGCTTTCGATACCACTATCGAAAACGGCGCAAGATTGTCGCCCGCAGCTGGGAGCGAACTCGGCACCTTGGAATTACTAATCGCGTTGGTAACGCCCAAGCCACAGACACAGACGACACTCTTGAAGATCAGTTAAAAAAAAAAATCCAGTCACTGTAGGCGTGGTCCATCTTCTTCTTCTTCGCGTTCATCTGCTGTAAACTCCTTCGAAAAGTTCTGGTTGCTCGTCCACTTCTAGACTTTAGTCCTGTTTCATAACCCGAATGTTGCGTGCACATCCATTTTACATATCTGGTACATGTATAGACAAACTGCAATTCCAATTCCTGTTAAGAAAAAATCAAAAACTCAACTACGTTCAACCTGCTGCTAGCTAGCCGAAGCTGCCAACAGTCTCCGGCTATATTTGTGGTCTTTTTTTTTTTTTTTTTTTTTTTGCGCTACTTTGTTGGTTCCTTACCTCTCAGAAGATGCACCAAAAGCTTCGAATTAGTCGACTCTTACAACATGCTTGTTGGGGAGGCAGTGGGCTTACTCTTGCCCCCCCACCCCCACCCTTTTTCCACTCCTACAATAGGGCTCCGAACCTCCACGGAGATATGTAGTTTCGAATCCAAAACCTTAGGGTCGATAGGCAAGCGTCTGGATATTAATGTACTAGATGAATTGTGGTTGTGTACAGAATACTCGAACATTAATTTTAAAGGGTCACAAAGTGGGCACGCAGGCCCGTCTTACATTCGGCCCTTCCGCTCATTTTCCCCAGAACAGTTGTACTATATCTGTACAACATTAAAGCTAATGTGTTCATGAATGTTTAGGCTGACCATATGTCCCGTTTTCACCAGATCATTTCCGATATTTAGGTGTACCAGTTGTCCCATTTTATAAATATCAGGAATAAGCTGGAAAATTTACAATTTTATCCATAGACTTTATTTGATGCCATAGTAGTAGATACTTTTGATGCCTGAAATGTAATGATGAGAACTTTCATTGTAGCATATTTTTTTGCATTTAAAATAGCACATCGTTCCGTTTATTTCTTTGCGGCAATGGTTAGAGTTTTTACCATTGTGGCGGAAATAATTTACTCGTTCACCCCATCGTCAGTCATCATCATCACTGACTTGGAAAAAGACCAAATTAGGGGAGAAAAAGGGGGGGGGGGAGGGTTAATTGACTCGCTTGAGATGGCCCGTTTTCAACTGAAGATATTATGGTACACATTATTAAATTCCTGCAGACGAATTACAAGCGTTTGTGCACAAAGAAATACTGTTATTGTATTCGCAGTAGACAACATGGCACCTGTACTTTCACAATGTGATTTTCTTTTGTATTACAGATTAAAGTAATTATTTTCAGTCCGAGACGATGTTCTCAGTAGGAAGTTGTAACCAGACTTATCTTCTCTTGTTTGTTCTTGTCGTGATGGGAGTGGCATCACTTGAAGCGGTAAGAAGGTTCATTATATCCATCAATTTAGCCGAGTCGTTTATATGTCTTATTTTGGCGTCATTAAGTAATTTCATGCTATGATTCATTCATATGTAAGGAATTAATCAGCGATGTTATAAAAAATATCCAGTCTGATAAGGATAAAGAACTTCAAGATCACCTTTTATGCATACATTTTGTGATTCAAAATATGGTCCGCAAATTGGTATGGTCCATGATAATTTCTTATACTAGGGCAGCACGTCACTAGCCCTTACCTTCAACGGACTGCAGGTTTACGCCCGGCTGGTGTAAACGTTACGGGTGCCTAAATATAACAAGGGAGAGCAAAGGATAAATACCTGCAAGGCTTGGTCACGTGAATGGTACAAGAGCGCCGATCTCATCCGTAATTCTGACCATATTGCGAGATAAAACACGAGTGCCTACGCCTGCCGGCAAGGTGCATGATGACAGTGATGTAATGTGTCTGGGCCGATGGATGACATTCCGTACAATAAATAATGTCACCTAAATTCCGCGTCTAGTTTCCTGGCCCAATTTTGGAGGGAAAAAAGAATAGACTTGCTGCCTCCCTAACAAGCATGCCGTACAAGGAGACTAATTGGGGAAGTTTTCTTCGAAGTCAGAGAGCATCTGCCTGAGATAAGAGCAGCCAGCAGTTTGTATAAATTATGCAGATCTGTAAAACTGAGGTGTACGTAAAACTCAAGTTCTGGATCGAGACCAAAGTCCACAAGAAATGGACGAACAGCCAGAACTTTACGCCGAAGTTTACGAACGGTGAATGCTAAAAAGAAGAAGAATAAACAAATGTCATCCGGATCTGGTCGTATCAATTTGCGTCTGCCAGATTTCCAGTCACAGACAGAGCAAAATAAAGTGCGAAAATGTTTGGAGAGATCACAGGAAGCTGTTCTTCAGAAAAATTCACAATCGGCTCGTTATGAAAAGCATGTTTGATTGCACTTCTTCAACTTCATGACGAAGAGGTCATGCTAATATCTTATATCCACAACGCTTTGTTGTATCGGCCTTGGCAATGTCTGAAAGTTCTTTGAAATCAGCCGAGAAATACAATCACCTGTATTGATTGGCTAGTGTGAAGTCTTCATAGAATGGTTGATTCTTATAAAGTGTTGACAGACTATCGCACCATAAAAGTGCGATGCAATTTTTGTTAAATGTATGTCACGCCAACACACTACAGTATTTATCGGTGTATAAGACGCTCCCGAAAAAAAATTAAAATAAACGTTATGGAAATAAAAGACCTCAGATTGAATTCTTCCACCCATTTCAATGGTCTAATACCCACCATCGCGCACTTCTTCCACTTATTTTGAACAAAACATCCTGCTTTGGCAGCCATAGTCTTGTGCCCCCCCCCCCCCCCCTCGTCAGAGGGGGATCCGAAATGACGTTCTGCTAAACTATTGCGGTGTTCTTCGGTATATTTTATCACCTGGAGTTTAAACCTCGTGGTGTATGAATGCTCTTACTTTCTTTTTTTTTTTTCCTCCTATGTAGCGGGAAATTAGGAAAATTTATTAGTATTTTTAGACCTGGCTTCACTGTATAGGACGCATCTAATTTTATGACATATTTCAAGAGATGATGCGTCTTATACACTGATACCTTTTTGACCGTTCGTAACGTAATTCAGAGAAGTGACTGGTGGAGTGGGTAGGGCGCTGGGCTCTAGTGAGGGAGATCCAGGTTCGATCCTCTGTAAGGGATAAAGACCTTTTCTGACCAGGCACAGTTGGTGGCGACTTGAACCCTCAGGCTGATAGGAAAAAATTGTGTGTGTGTGTGTGTGAATGTGTATGTGTGTGTGTGTGTGTGGGGGGGGGGGGCTAGGGGGTACACCTCTCCTTAGATAATAAATACAAGTAGTAACTACAGTTGTAAAGTAATTTATGTGACACTCACATGGTAGTTGGCTCCCAGATCGACCCAGTCTAAAATAGTTACTAGGTAATGTCAAGGAAAGTAAAGGCGGTCTGTGTGATACTGACCACATCACCCATCGGAGGCCAATAGGTTTATACACATTTGAGCCCAGCGATTGGTAGGCATAACCAAGATTACGTACTTTAACTAAAAAAAGAAAAGAATTACGCACGGCGAATGCACAGAGCGAGTTAATACTAAATCACCTCATTATACAACAACTAATTCATCCACATCTTGTACATCCAGCCTTCAGCGTGTCCCTGTGAGGAGAAATTTCTAGAACGCATTCAGGACCTTGAAAGAAAAGTGAATGAGATGTACCTGGATTCGGACAAACTAACCACGAAAATGTTAGACACGATTGAATCTGTGGACAAACGTGAGTACTTACCTTGATTTTGTTATTCAAAAGCAACCCATTTCAGATCCTTTACACGTCAGACAAAATCAGAACGCTCAGATTTCTTGAAATCGCCGCGATTGGTTACCTCCGCCCTGAACTTTGTAAACAAAAAGACATGATTCTGATACTGCCACTGCCCTGATAAAACAGGCAGTTGTGTTTGATTGTTGTTGATATTGTACTTTGGTTATAAAGAATTCACTTATTTGCTTCACTTATGTAAATAGTACTGTAGCATGCACCTGACGAGATACTGCGAAATAAACCAGCATTAAATTGTGCACTCTATTGTTTGTGTCTTCTTTGTACAGAGATTAAAAGCAGAATAGGTCAAGCGAAAGCTGCCTTTTCAGAAAATCTTATGCAATAAATCGCTGTCATTTAATGTCAGAACTTATCACTTGGTGATGTAGGATAAGGAGGTAGTGAGGCTTTGAGGTTGCATGGCTAGTGGTGTCGCCACGAACTTTGCAAACTGGGATCCTCCCACCCCCACAGAAACAAAGTAATGAAAAAGGTGAATGGATGACATACAATAGAAGCAACACAAGTTTGATTTGACAAAGACGTACGGAGAGTCGGGATAGGAGATGACTGTCTTAGACCAGAGACGAGAAAAAAGAACTTGTTGGTGATAGACAAAGAGAATGAGGAGGAGGAGATGACAAAGAAGGGGATGATAATGATGACGATAAAGGAGAAGAAGAAGATGAAACAGAAAAAAAGATGGTGATGATGAAAAAGGAAACAAGCAAGATAATATAATTGAAACCTAGGAAAACAAAATTACAACTAGGATTAATAATTTATGCAACAGTCTCTCTCTCTCTCTCTCTCTCTCTCTCTCTCTCTCTCTCTCACACACACACACACACACACACAGAGAGAGAGAGAGAGAGAGAGAGGCAAAGTAACCTTGGCTTCCAGGACGACATAGCCTTAAATGGGTACCAGGTACAGCCTGGGAAGTAAAGGCGGCCAGCGTGGTTTTGACGACATCACCCATGGAGTGCCGATTGGTCTATGAAAATATAGGCTAGCCCTCTATGCCAAATACGCTGAAGTCATAAGAAAGGGTCATTAACTTTACTATAGCAACAAGTGATATATAGTAACAAGAATATAGCAAAACAAGTTTGCTGCTTTACACATAAATAACGGGTTCTTTATAATAACCTACACCGAGATGACGTCACAGGACAGTCCAATGTTTTAGAGGATGGTAAGACTGGGTTTCCCGGCTTTCTGACGCTTTTAACGACCCCAAAACATCTAAAACTGGCCCTAACTACAACCCACCTACGTCCCACGATAGAGTGCAGCCTAGGTCCCACGAATGCATGCAGCGTATCTACCACCCCCTGAAATATTAGACTTTCCCGTGACCGGTGGATTTCCCCTGTTTGTGGTAGGATATTAATAAAGCACAAAATGTTGTAGTCAAGATGTTAATGGTTAGAGATGATGTAGTTGCTTTTTGTTTCAGTACTGGCATCTGGAGTAGCTGGGGTGGGCCCTCTAGCAGCCAAGCAGAGGCAGATCGTATCCTTCACCGTGAGGACCTCCAAGAATTTGCCCTATCTCTCGGAATCAGAGGTCATTAAGTTTGACGATGTGAGCATCTCTGTCTACCTGTCGACCAGCTGCTTACATTTGTCTTTTTGTTCTGTCTGTTGGTAGAGCAGCTGCTTAGATTTGTCTTTTTGTCCACCAGATACTTACAAATCTGTCTTAATGTCAACCTGCTGCTTACATTCATCTCTTTGTTGTTTTTTCTGTTTGTAGACCAGCTACTTACATTTCTATCTTATTGTAGAGATGCTGCTTACATTTATCTGTATTTCCACCAGATACTTACAAATCTGTCTTACTGTCGACCTGCTACTTACATTTCTGTCTTACAGTAGAGCTGCTACTTACATTTCTTTCTTATTGTAGAGCTGCTACTTACATTTCTGTCTTACTGTCGACCTGCTACTTATATTTCTGTGTTATTGTAGAGCTGCTACTTACATTTCTGTCTTATTGTAGAGCTGCTACTTACATTTCTGTCTTACTGTCGACCTGCTACTTACATTTCTGTGTTATTGTAGAGCTGCTACTTACATTTCTGTCTTATTGTAGAGCTGCTACTTACATTTCTGTCTTACTGTCGACCTGCTACTTACATTTCTGTCTTATTGTAGAGCTGCTACTTACATTTCTGTTTTACTGTCGACCTGCTACTTACATTTATGTCTTATTGTAGAGCTGCTACTTAAATGCTCTGCTCAGTCTCTGTCATGTTGTCGACAGCGCTGCAGAATCAGAAGTTCAGCAACTGTTTCATTACAGCCCCCCCCCCTTCCCCCACGCCCAACTGAAAAAGGTCTAAAAAGATATGTTCAGTGCAAATTGGCAGGCTTTGCTCTAGAGATACCCAGTATTTAGCCTATGGATATTCTCTCCGGGGAGTGCAGGAGTGTTGGAAAACGATCAATTACATAGACTGATTTGTTCTGCAACACTTGGTGGTAAAATGATGAATAACAAACTAGATATCGCAAGGGCCCTTTGAGGGCGAGTGAACACTGCGTAAGCAAAAGTAAATATATACCACAGTCTAGAGAGAATGGTATTTCAAGGAGAGACTAGAGGATCTGACATATACTCCTAACTGAGGGTAAAAGTGAGGCGGACACACAAGCAGACTATTATTACTTCTACCAACGGAATTGGAACTCTGCGCTTGCTGCTGAAGATGGTGATATAGGTCTTACAGAAAGGTTCCAACTGCTATTAATTTCGGTTCTTAATTTGTCAACATCTTATTGTCGACCTGTTGTTTAAACCTATCTTTCTATTTACCAACTCTTTACAGATGTGTCTTATTACTCACCGGCTGTTTTCGTCTTTTTCCTAATGTCGACCAGTTGTTTACATCTATCTTTCTGTTTACCAACTCTTTACAGATGTGTTTTATTATTGACCGGCTGTTTTAGTCTTTGTCTTAATATCTACCAGTTGTTTACATCTCGGTCTTAATGTCGACCAGCTACCTACATGTCTATTATATTGTCGACTATCTTCTCACATCTCGTTGTCTCACCCAACCTCCTGATTTAGCTATTCATGACACTATCAGTAATACAGTTCTGTATACCTTCATTTTTGTTTTTAAAACTTGCGTATCAATCTTATAGCACCAATAAGATATGCAAATGATATATGTTGATTGCAAACAATGACCATGATCTGCAGTGTTTATTGGATACAGTAATAAATGATCCAATGTGAAAATCTAGGTTTAGAATTAATTTGTAAGAATACAGATAATATGGCGATCGCCAAGAAGAATGAATACTACAGGTGAAATGTATAAAGGTAACCCATTATATATTGTATTATTCGCCCGGATCTCTAGCGTAGTTGGCTAAACCGGATTGCACGGTGAGCGGGTGACAAACTCCTTGTGGTCCGGGTTCATGCCCGGGGCTAGGCAGAAAAGCCAAATTTTCTCCCCGATTTACGGTATTTACAATGGAATCAAGGCCCAAAGGTTGCGATATCCATAATACCGAGCCTAAGGGTTAACAACTCATGGCTTCTGGATACTAAAACAAACAAACAAACAAACAATATTGTATAATTCCAGCTAAAGATGCAAAGTTGTAGAACTAGACATACTTTATTAGGCGACATTTTAATGTTTGCTGGTTCTCTCCACTTTCCAAACAAACGTGCTCGAGGCATGGGGTCCGCCTCAAGTGCTAGAGGTTCCGGGTTCTAGAGATTTTTTCACGTGGGCTTGGACTTCTAGTAATTCCCCCTGGTCTCTGGGTAGTGAGATCGGACGCCCGTGTGCATTGTTGCGCACGTAAAAAATCCCTTAGCAGTTGGAAATCGAAAAGAGTAGCCTAAGGGCGCTGCCGGGGCAAAATTTGGAGTTAGAAATCTACCCAAAGTATTACAGGATCCTCACCAGTGCTACAGAGATTGTGCATTGTGTTGAGCTTCTTTGGACTCAGACTTGAGTTAGAAGAAGAGCGGAGCACTTATGGGTTACTACTCGTGTACCATGATGTTAATCCGTTGTTCAAAACCTCAAACCTCCAAACAAATGCCAACATTGAGAAGTCAAGGATCCTTCTCCACATCCTTAGACGTATCCCGGCATCTATGGTAGACCTATATTTTGTAGACCAGTCGGCACTGGGTGGGTGATGTGGTCAGTATTACGCCGGCCGCGAGAAATTAAATGCTTTGAAATTTTATTGTTACTTTAATGCCCCACTTGTTCTATCGTGTTTTTGACTGCGTGATCTGAACGTGACTTGATGACTATTCTAATATACGAATATAAATATATACAGGTTCTTGTCAACAACGGGGGAGCTTACGATAAACACACAGGCATCTTTACCTCACCCGTGTCTGGTGTATATCTGTTCTCTGGTAAGTTAAGTCTCACACAGGCACCTCACCTGTGCCCAGTAAAGTGTTCAATCCCCCACACAGTCATCTTCACCACACAAATATCTAGTATATCTGCTCTCTGGTAAACTCTCAATCCCTCACACAGCCATCTTCACCACATCAAAGCTCTCAATCCCTCACACAGCCATCTTCTCCACATCAAAGCTCTCAATCCCTCACACAGCCATCTTCTCCACATCAAAGCTCTCAATCCCTCACACAGCCATCTTCTCCACATCAAAGCTCTCAATCCCTCACACAGCCATCTTCTCCACATCAAAGCTCTCAATCCCTCACACAGCCATCTTCTCCACATCAAAGCTCTCAATCCCTCACACAGCCATCTTCATCACACTAAAGTTCTCAACCCCTCACACAGCAATCTTAACCACATCAAAGCTTTCAATCCCTCACACAGCTATTTTCTCCACATCAAAGCTCTCAATCCCTCACACAGCCATGTTTACCACACCAAAGTTCTCAATCCCTCACACAGCCATCTTCTCCACATCAAAGTTCTCAATCCCTCACACAGCCATCTTCACCACACCAAAGCTCTCAATCCTTCACACATTCTTCATCACACTAAAGTTCTCAATCCCTCACACAGCAATCTTCACCCCACCAAAGCTTTCAATCCCTCACAAAGCTATCTTCTCCACATCAAAGCTCTCAATCCCTTACACAGCCATGTTCATCACACCCAAGCTCCCAATCCCTCACACAGTTATCTTTACCAGACCAAAGTTCTCAATCCCTCACACAGCCATCTTCACCACACCAAAGTTCTCAATCCCTCACACAGCCATCTTCACTACACCAAAGTTCTCAAATCCTCACACAGTTATCTTTACCAGACCAAAGTTCTCAATCCCTCACACAGCCATCTTCACCACACCAAAGTTCTCAATCCCTCACACAGCCATCTTCACTACACCAAAGTTCTCAATCCCTCACACAGCCATCTTCACCACACCAAAGTTCTCAATCCCTCACACAGCCATCTTCACCACACCAAAGTTCTCAATCCCTCACACAGCCATCTTCACCACATCAAAGTTCTCAATCCCTCACACAGCCATCTTCACCACACCAAAGTTCTCAAATCCTCACACAGCTATCTTCACCACACCATATCTCACAATCACCTCACACAGTCATCTTTACCACACCAGTGTCTGATATATATGTTCTCTGGTAAGTTCACAACCTCTCCCACAGCCATCTTCACCACACCTAATCTCTCAATCCGTCACACAGCCATCTTCATCACATCAGTGTATGGGTTTTATCTGCTCTGTGGTAAGTTCTCAAACTTTCATCACCTCTATTTTCTCAACGTCCATCAGACTAGTGTTGCCGCTATGGGCGCCCCAGTCATAATTTCTTTGTGGGTTTAACAGGGTATTTGGGTGTTGTCCTGGTGGCTTGTCATCCCTAATGGTAGATGTGTAATATCAAAGAGGTCACACGATCCAGTAACAGCCGGAAGGAGACACAACACAAGGAAGGAGGGTTCCCAGTCTCCTTCGTCAGAGAGCTGCAGTAATATAGATGCATGGCTGCCGACTCAAAAGTCCTGGGTTCGAACCTTTGTTAATTGATCTTGGCTCCCATGTTAAATGGGTTCGTGGAAATAAAGGCGACCGGCAGTGCCAGATTTAGATTTGATAAGAACCTAAGCTATAAAAAACAAGAGGCCTCTGCCATTTTAAATTACACCATCTAATCTAAGAAACGTTTAAAATATATACTACTTTTCAATATATGGATGATGTAAATATGTTGTCGTTCAAGAGGGTTTTGGCAGAGTAGAAGAAAAAGAGGAAGTAGAAGTATAAGAATGTGGAAAAGCATGAAAGGGAGGAGGAGGAGAAAGAAGGATATGAGGGATGAGGAGGAGAAGGAAGAAGAAGAAGAAGAAAACAAGAAGGGAAGAAGAAAATGAAGGAGGAAGAGTATGAAGAGGAATAAGGATGAAAGGGAGAAAGAAAAGAGAGAAAAAAGGAAGAGAATGAAAAGACAGAGGAAGAAAAATGAGGAGCGAAAAGAAAGGAAAACAGAGAAGAAAAAGAAGAATGGGTGGGGGATGGGGGAAGAAAACGTCTTATTTCACACTACACTAATGTTCATCTTTCCAAACAGCCAGCATCCTCTCAGGATTCAACAGCACCATCGAGACCATGATCACACTCAACGGTCAACACGACGTGTCCCGCATCTACTCGGGCGCCTTCAAGAACAGGGGCTACGGTAGCAACACGGTCGTCTTGAATCTACGTAAAGGCGATGAGGTGTCCGTGGCCGTGTTCTACGGTAATGGCAACTATGTTCACGGGAAATGGAGCACGTTTTGTGGCACTTTGCTAGAAACGTATTAGGTAATCTGAAACAGTTTGCTTGAATTATATTAGGTAATCTGAAACAGTTTGCTTGAATTATATTAGGTAATCTGAGAGAGTTTGTTTGAATTACATTAAGTAATCTGAGAGAGTGAGTTTGAATTATATTAGGTAATCTGAGGAGTTTGTTTGAATTATATATTAGGTAATCTGAGAGAGTTTGCTTGAATTATAATAAGTGATCTGAGAGAGCGACCTTCTTCTTGAAATATATTTGGTAATTTAAGAGAATGGGGTTTTGCTTGAAATCTATTAGGTAACGATAGAGTGGGGCGTTGCTTAAATTATATTTGATAATCTGAGAGAGTGGGGTTATGCCTGAAATATATTTGGTATTTTGAGAGTGGGGTTTTGCTTGAAATATATAAGGTAATCTGAGAATGGGGGTTTTGCTTGAATGAGAAACTGAGAAAGCAGTTTTACTGTAAAAGTATATTAGGCAGTTTGAAAGACTGGGAATTTAAAAAAAAAGTGAACTATAATCTAAAAGTGAGAGCTTAGCTGGATATGCACAAGTTAAAAAGAGAGAGTGGGGTTTTGTCAGAAAGATGTTGGATGTCAGATAATCTGTATGTGTGTGAGAGAGAGGGAGGGAGAGAAAGAGAGAGAGGGAGGGAAAAAGGGGGGAGGGAGAGAAAGAGAGAGAGACCGAGATAATACAAAACCCGGTGAGTAATGGACACGAACCCATCAACATGTGTTTTATGTGTATATTTCTGAATGTATACAAAACTTGCTTGATTGTAAACATATAAATAAAAACAGCATATCTGCATTTAGTTTCTATGTAGGTTTTGTTTATAGTGTGCCTTGAACTGTTTATAAAATGGGAAGAATTCAAGAGGCATGAACAAAATCTAGGAAATGTCTGAGCAATCACTTGTATCAACAGTTCTAAGACAGTAGACGGCGCTATAGTGGACACATTCTGAAAAAAAAAATTAGCATTGAATGACCGATCAAACTAAAATGGAGGGGATGGAGGAGAGGGGTAGGGTATGGGGGAATTAAGGAGGCGAGGACACTGTAAAGAAACTTTAAAACAAACACTTATTAGCGAGGTTAAAGGTGGTGGATTGGATTCCATCCACGATGTTCAGCTGATTGCACAGGACAGAAATGAATGGAGGAATAGACTGCAAGACCTTTGTGACATGATTTGATTCAAGAACCAACATCACAGCACTCGGGGCATTCCTATAAGCGCTCCATCCCCATCTTCAGCAGCCAGCGAAGAGTTCCGATACTAATGGTGCCAGTAGCATTCTGATTAAACGACCGCCTTGCCTTTCCTCTGAGCCTCGAGCATGTGCCAGAACCTCTCGTCACTTCCATATGTGACATATATTAACACAGCAGGCTAATAAATGAATAAATGAATGAACTGTCTAAAGGTTGTTGCTTCTTTGGTCAGTTTCTCTTTTAGACTGAAGAGCCCATGAAGATCCAAATCTATAAGATTTTTAGTGCTTTATTAATATCCTACCCCAAACAGGGAAAATCAACAGGTCACGGGACAATATTTAATATTTCAGGGGTCGGTAGATAGGCTGCATGCAGTCATGGGACCTGAGCTGCACTTTCTTGTTGGACGTAGGCGGGTTGGGGTTATGGCTAGATCTAGATGTTTTGGGGTCGTTAAAAGCAACAGAAAGCCCGGAAACCCAGTCTTACCACCTTCTAAAATGTTGGACTGTCCTGTGACATCATCTGGGGGTAGGATATTAATAAAGAACTAGATTTTTCTAGCTGACCTTATCTACCTGATATTGGTGTCCTCAGATCAATGTGGTGTGGGGTGAATTATGTAACAATCAATTGCAGGCTTTTTCTAATAAATTATATATGTTGATCTTCCTTTTTGTAGACTCTTCTTGCTGCCATAAGGCTGCGTACGGGACTAAGTTAATTTATTTACAATCACTAAGCTACAGGAAACAAATCAGCATCTAGATCAGGGCTATTCAACTGGCAGTCTGAGGGCTAAAAAAGCAATTAATATTGTCACTAACAAAATAAAAGATACCTTCTAAAAAGTAATATAAGATTAAACTGGGAAGGTGCCAGGATGTATCAATTCAATGAAATCGAACAGTGTTTAAATGAGCTGAGTCTCTGAAGATGTGGATACACAGAAGAATAGGTCGTTTTTAATGAAAACAAAAAACAAGCAACTGCAGAAATTCTGAGGAAACTGGGAAAGAAAAATTAATATTGAAAAAAAAAAATTGACAACTGAAATATTTTGGCCCTATTTGAAATACACAAAATTCTTTTAAAAACTACATTTGATGGAACAATGATAAAAAAGAACTCCACAGGGGAGCATGTACAACAGGGGTCCACCGATCATCAGTAGAAAGATCCCTAGTCGTCGACTGTTTCGGCCCGTTACCATTCCTATACAATCCTGGAAGGTGGGCTGATCTGGGTCATGACTCCCAGGCCTCAATCTTCCCCTGCTGTACTTTACCGGATGTTCTCGGACAGGGACAAGATGATTTGGTGATGTGTAACAGGTGTTGTAAGAATTATTGATATAATAAAATTAAAAAATGAAGCAAGAGGTAGACAATGATACAAGTAGGAGGACAACACCAAGAGATGGCCAAACAGCATTCTGAGAGAGTGTAAAACCTGGACAGAGACAGAGAGTGGTGGAGATCCATTGTGGCCAACCCTCAGTGCGGATATGGCACCTGTTAGATTGCAAGAACAATATTATAAAATGAAAACATTGCAAATTGAGATGATGACCAGTCAGAGGATAGATATGCCAAAATAGACTTTACCTTCAGAAAAATAGACCTGTAGACTGAGAACAGACATTTTAGAAGAATAATTGAACAAATAAATATATCACAAATATTGGTTGCTGTTTATAAAACTTTTGTTTAAAAAAAAAAGAGAAGAATTTGAAATAGAAACACTAAGCACAATAAACAAACAACAAAAAAATTAAAAATCACACAAACAATGAAATCATTCTCTCTCTCAATGTTATAATGCAAGCACAGTAGAACAATAAAGAAACATAACAGACACACAGTTTATACAAATTGTCATCTGCATTCCCCTTTTAACCGGGTGGTTGACTCATTGTGTTGTGGTTTACAGCTAGGCTGCAATATCTGCACCTTCTGGTCAAACACATGTGATCTCTGCAGACCCCTAATTAGTAACCTTTACAAGAGGCTCATTAGGGGTCAGTGGCTCTATTCTTTGCCCCAAAAATGTGACCTGGAACCCACACGGGGTACACTCAAATCAATCAATCTCTCTTTCTAGCATAATGCAAGTATGTAATAATGCAGATGCAAAAAAAATGTAAACAAAAAGATCACATGATAAATCTGAAGGTTACCATGGTAATCATGAAGCTGATCTTGAATTTCGGGTAGAGAGTTGTACTTAACAATGACAACCCGATTTCATATTTCAGCCAAAAGGATTCATCTTTGGTGCTTCATTATATGTTGATTTAGCTCTGTAGTAATGTACCTGACGAGTTACAGCTAAATATGCCAGGCAATAAATTGTGCAATGTATTGTTTGTGATTGCATTATTTAAAAAATACAAGTACCCTAGAACAAGAAAGAAGCACATAACAAAACATAACCCTTGACTCATTAGAGTCGTGTAGCTGTAGTGATGGAAGAACTAGCACATAAAACCGACCATCTTTCTCTGTCTTCTGCTTGATGAATAAGTGTATGATAACTTGGTTATCATAAAGAAGCATACCAGAAACTCAATATAACAAATCAAACAAATATAACCAACAACAACTGTAATGCATTAAACAAAAAAGTTCAATGTATACACATAAACCAGCAGTTACAACGAGGCAGTTTTGGTCCAAGGTTTCAGATAAATGCGTACACTAAACACATAATCTTTCAGTAAAGGAAATCATATCTATCAAGTCCTGAATGATGATATGACTTCAACACAGCAAATGGTGATGATGATAGTGATTGTGATAAGACAGCTACTCCCTCTAAAGGTTTCCTAGTTACGTATCTCCAGTCATGATAGCAACAAACTCTTCCTCATTGACTGAAATGAGAACAATCATTTATACATTGTTAGAGATTTAAGAAATAATTTATACTATATACAAATTTAAAACAAATAAAATTAGTGCTTAACTTGCATTTCCACTTCCTTTTCCCACTCATTTGTTTTGTTTTGTAATATCTCTTCCTGTCTCTGTTTTTATCATTTTTGTTTATATCTGGCATCAGCTGTATATGTTTCTCTTGTTTGGTACATTGATAATGACTAGTCAAAATATTCAGCTGTATTTAGGCTTGTCTTGTTCCTCCACTGAGCTGTCGTGTCCATCCACTGAGCTGTCTTGTCCCTCCACTGAGCTGTCTTGTCCCTCCACTGAGCTATCTTGTCCCTCCACTGAGCTGTCTTGTCCCTCCACTGTGCTGTCTTGTCCCTCCACTGAGCTGTCTTGTCCCTCCACTTAGTTGTCTTGTCCCTCCACTGAGCTGTCTTGTCCCTCCACTGAGCTGTCTTGTCCTTCCACTGAGCGGTCGTGTCCCTCCACTGAGCTGTCTTGTCCCTCCACTGAGCTGACTTGTCCCTCCACTGAGCTGTCTTGTCCCTCCACTGAGCTGTCTTGTCCCTCCACTGAGCTGTCTTGTCCCTCCACTGAGCTGTCTTGTCCCTCTACTGAGCTGTCTTGTCCCTCTACTGAGCTGTCTTGTCCCTCCACTGAGCTGTCTTGTCCCTCCACTCAGCTGTCTTGTCCCTCTACTGAGCTGTCTTGTCCCTCCACTGAGCTGTCTTGTCCCTCCACTGAGCTGTCTTGTCCCTCCACTGAGCTGTCTTGTCCCTCCACTCAGCTGTCTTGTCCCTCTACTGAGCTGTCTTGTCCCTCCACTGAGCTGTCTTGTCCCTCCACTGAGCTGTCTAGTCAAAGTTTATGCTGTTTTAATCAACACTGCTAACATATCTGACAAAACATCAACCTTAGATTGAAGAACATCATCTTTCTTTGACTTTACTATGCTAAAAGATTACAGTGAAGTTCATACTAGAGACAACACTCCAGATATAGAGAATCTAATTATAGTGAATGAAAAAAGAAGAAGAGGAAACTAAAAGATAACTTTCTAAATGCACAGCCTCTTTCTATCTCCCTTGCTACTGAAAGAAAAAAAAGAGGTTAGCTGTGTTATTATTAACAGGATGTTTACAGAACAACTCATGCATGTTTTGACTGTATGTCCAAGTCCAAGTCCTTTTGAGAAAAAAAAGAAAAGCTTGACCACGTTCAGACTGCTGCGAGCTAGCCTAGGCTGCTAGCAGTCTCCGCCTATATTTGTGGTCTGGGTTATTTGCATCACTTTCGTGACTGAATACTAGTGTTTGTGCCATTTCTGGGCTTGATGCTTCCATCCGAATCAAACCGCTCGTCCTGTTGTCACTGGTGCATGTCTTTTGACTGTATGTGATTTTACTAGGCTTTTATATGTTTAGTAGATTGCCATTGCTTTTTGAACGAGCGGCTGTACATACAGCTGTGAAAACCAAGGCAAAGCGGTCTGCTGCCAAATCACCTGCAATTGGAATCAAATAGGGTATTTTCGGAATTACTAAGCCCCAGATGCCCACCTTGCTGTTAGTCACGAACTGAGGCTCTGATATCACTGCAGACAGATTGCCCCTGCACAGCTCAAGTCCTGTGCCAAGGAGAAATAGCACACACAAATCATTCACTGTCCCAAGTGAAAACTAGTGAGAAACTTGTCTTTCCCAGCAGAATCCTGATGCTTGCACATGCAAAGCAAAAATGCATTAGACAGCTGTCAGATGTGCCAACACTAATGCTCCCACACCAGAAATGCAGCATACAGCTGTTGCAAGCGGTCAACTATGTAAAATGGGCATTGCACTAGCAAAAGTACACACCATTCTGAAAGTAATCAGCCACCTACATGCTATCTTGTGCAGCTCACTTCTCTTTTCATGTGTATGTGCTTTCTTGCCTATGTCTGTCTTTAATCCTCTGACCCTGTGGGTTTCAGTGCAAGGAGATTCTCGTTATTTGCACATCATAAATACTCCATTCTGCTCCCCTAGATCACACACAGAAAACCTCAGCATGGGGCACAAACTTCATAGCACTGGTGACAATCCAAATGTGTGTACGCCAAAATTCCATACACTATAAATATCCGTTTTGTGGGCAGATTTTGTTAATAAATTTAGCCTGGGCTACTGCCAATTTAGCTTTTGATTCCAAGCCAATAAGAACTCATATTAGCATAGCCAGGCAGTTATATAAAGGCAGAGAAAAGAGTACACTTACTTTCTCCATCACCATCTCTGTCAAACTCATCAATCATCGCTCGGAGCTCCTCATCAGTCATGTTCTCGCCCAGTTCCCTAACAAAGTCAAAATCTCAGATTAAAGAGAAGTTTACTTTGCTCGCCCAGTTCCCTAACAAAGTCAAAATCTCAGATTAAAGAGAAGTTTACTTTGCTCGCCCAGTTCCCTAACAAAGTCAAAATCTCAGATTAAAGAGAAGTTTACTTTGCTCGCCCAGTTCCCTAACAAAGTCAAAATCTCAGATTAAAGAGAAGTTTACTTTGCTCGCCCAGTTCCCTAACAAAGTCAAATCTCAGATTAAAGAGAAGTTTACTTTGCTCGCCCAGTTCCCTAACAAAGTCAAAATCTCAGATTAAAGAGAAGTTTACTTTGCTCGCCCAGTTCCCTAACAAAGTCAAAATCTCAGATTAAAGAGAAGTTTACTTTGCTCGCCCAGTTCCCTAACAAAGTCAAAATCTCAGATTAAAGAGAAGTTTACTTTGCTCGCCCAGTTCCCTAACAAAGTCAAAATCTCAGATTAAAGAGAAGTTTACTTTGCTCGCCCAGTTCCCTAACAAAGTCAAAATCTCAGATTAAAGAGAAATTTTTCTTTGCTCGCCCAGTTCCCTAACAAAGTCAAAATCTCAGATTAAAGAGAAGGTTTATTTGCTAACTTACAAATAATCAACAGCAGAAATAATTTACTTATGAACAAAACTAGGTATCACTATGCTGTGTCTACCAAGTATATTTAAAAAAAAATCCTCACCTCACAAAGGATTTTTCTCTTCTTCTTTGCATTCACCAGCTATAAACTCTAGCAGAAAGTTCTGGTTGTTCCTCCACTTTTGGACTGCAGTCCTGTTTCAGAACCTGAGTGTTGTCTGTGCATCCTTTTTACAGATCTAACTCATTTGTGTGCAGACTGCTGGTTCCTTGCCTCTCAGGCAGATGTACTCCGACTTCAAAGGAAGCTGCTAATTAGTCGACCCTTACGACATGCTTTTTTGTAGGCAGTGCGTCCATTATTTTTTCCCCATACAATAGGGCTCCGGAACCCACTCGGGGAAAAGAGGATTCTAACATAAGACCTTTAAAATGGAGGCAAGGATGCTAGCCAATGTGCACCGTAGCTGCCAAGGCTGTGGCTGGAGTCAAAACAGAACCTTTTATGTCAATATGACAGTGAACAGCTGGGCGCAAGGGACAACAGACAAATATATTTATCATTACATTTTATTTAAAAGTCAATGAATATTTAAGAAAAAATATCAGGAACCATTCATCTCACTATCACCTCCCATACCCCTGACAAAGCTCAAAGATTATTAAAGTTAATGATGGCATCAAAGAAACTTAGTACAACGATGCTTCGTAAACAGCGGCATGCTTCCCTTTGGAGGTCATGGGTGAAAAGCATTGTCTATCTTTTCTCCGGTTATGCAGGTGTGTTGGTAAATGAACAGGCAGACAGACTGACTGGCTCTGCACAACTTTGTGGAAAACTGATGCATGATAAGGCAGATTCAGTCAAGGCCTTATATGAGAGTGTGTACAATTAAGAGGAAGGACCAAATGGATCCTCACATTGATGAGTGTGATGCAGCGAGGAGTGACGAGGGGATCTGGCCGATACTCTACGCTCAGAGGAAAGCAAGACGAACATATAACCAGACTGCTACTGGTACCACTGGTATTGAAACTCTGCGCTGGCTGCTGAGGATGGGATGGAGCACTTATGGGAATGCCTAGAGTGTTGTGATGTCGGTTCTTAAATCAACTCAACTAAACTTAAAAAAACTCTGTAGGAATCATTCATTGCATCATCTGAGTGGTCCACTCAAGTATGGTGATGCTGCATCTTGTCAACTCATATCATTTGAGGATCTTCTTTACCTCCCAATGCTCTGTCTGTTCAAAGCAATCCACATCAAGTGGCCACAAAGACAACTCTATAGCTTTGGGTAACCAACAAATTCCTCATACTGGAAGGTTCTTATCTTGGGTTCACCTGATGCCCTTGATATAAACTGCAAGTAAATAAACTTGTTAAAATTACAGATGAGCAGCAAAGATGGCCCAGAAATACGTTTTTGTTTAGACACCACAAGACAAACCTTGCCACCCGTCTCAGATTCCGCAAGCTAATCTTGCCCGTCACATCATCATCAAACAATTTGAAGGCTTTGAGGATTTCTTCCTGGGGATCTCTGTCCAACATCATATCTGTCACTGAAATAGTCATGTGACAAATGCTTACAATTACATTTCTTAAGTTGCATGTTAGGTTAAAGCATTACTGTTGCTTGCTTCCATTTTGGAGCCTGTTAAAACACCTGTATGTCATATGAATTGTAAAATGTAACATCTGATCTCTGGGGTCCTTTTTTTTTTTTTTAAAGGGTGCGGGGTAGGGGGGTGGTTAGACACAGTGTCTCCTAACAAGCATGTCATAAAAGGCTACTAATAAGGGGTTCTTCCTTCGAAGTTAGAATGTATCTTCCTGAAAGGCAAGGAACCAACAATTTGCATACAAATAAATCAGATCTGCAACACAGATTTGCATGCAAAACTCAAGTCCTGGAAAGTCCAGAAAGTGAATGAAAAGCCACAACTTTCCACCTGAGTTTTATAACCATTGAACAAGAACAAGAGGACAGCCAGGACTACTATCATGACAGGCAAGTGCATAAACCACTATTCAAACAAAGCTCTAAACCAGCGGTTCTCAATCTGTGGGTTGCGACCCTTTTATGGGTCAAATGACCTTTTCACAGGGGTCGCCTAAGACCATCAGAAAACACATATTCACTGAAGCTATGAAGTAGCAACAAAAATAATGTTATGGGGGTCGTCACAACATGAGGATCTGTATTAAAAGGTCGTCACAACATGAGGATCTGTATTAAAGGGTCGCCACAACATGAGGAACTGTATTAAAGGGTTGCCACAACATGAGGAACTGTATTAAAGGGTTGTGGCATTAGGAAAATTGAGAACCCCTGCTCTAGACTAAAAAACAACACAATTTTCAAAGTAAGAAAAACAAAATAAAGTTTAATATTTACACATAAATACTTACTGACTTCATTAAAATCATCAAATGAAATTTTGCCAGTTCCTTCTCTATCATAGTCCCGCAACGTCTTCAACACATCAGCTTTCTTAACATCAAAGCCAAGAGCTCGCATAGCAACCTACATAAAACAGTTTGCATTCAAATAAAAAGAAACACTTGGCAACAGTAAAAACAAGAACAGTAATATGAACTCCACTGGCAAAGGATAAACAACTGGAGTTTTTTGTGTTTTGTTTTAAAACCCTTACAGATTAAATTTTTTGAGAAGCAAAGAATGAAATGGTTTGGTCACCTAATGAGAATGGAACCAACGATGCCAGCATCAAGAGCATACAACATGAAAATCGAAACAACAAGAGGCAGGGGAAGACCAAGAAGAAGATGGATTGAAGGAGTCACGGACAACTTGAGACTTCATAACATCACGGCATATGAAGCGACTGAGCGCGCCCTGGCTCGGTTGCCGATCGTCTGATGGACTGCGACGCCTAGCGGCACAAGCAGATTTTGACAAAAGAAGAAGACAGATTAGTTGCCCTTTTCATAATGAAAGGTGGCACAGTGAGTGGACTGGCATAAGTATCTGTCTCTTGACAAACTCTTCTTAGTTTTTAATACAAAAATGACTTCACATCTATATATTATTCAACTTCTTCTCTTCTTTCTTCTTCTGTCCATTGCCCCCCAATGAAGCAAAGGCCCTCAACCAACTCACACCATTGTCTTAAAATTTGCTAGCAAATGTACTTCACCCCAAGTTCTTCCTATTCACGCTCTGATTTCCTTGTCCCTGTGTTTTGTCTTCATTTATTTTACTCTGAAGCTGCTGGATCCAGATAGATTTGTTAGATTCTTATTTGTGTTTTGAGAATCTGGTAGTATTTAAGTTGATCACAGAACTGCTAAGTGACTACATTAGACGGCAGGGTGAAACAGCCCTTTGCATGCTAAAATGAGTTTCATCCCTATAAGGGACCAAATTGTTATTTTAAAAGCCCCACCTTGGCTGTAGTCAGAGGCCCTAATAAAACCTTATGGTTCAAAGGGGTTTCTGGGACTTATACCCAGGTGATTCTTATCCGAATAGGGGCACTTTGTGTCACCGGGTCTCTATCTCTTGTTGTGTTGTCCTATCAGGGTTGAGCGTTACTCGCTCTTTGCATGCCAACATACCATTGTGATGTAGGACACCAGAAATTGATCTAATAATCAGGTTAGTCAGCGTGATTCTTGTTAGACCAGTGTAAGCTTAATCCTAATGTTTGTATATAGCTTAATCCTAATGTTTGTTTATAGCTTAATCCTAATGTTTGTATATAGCTTAATCCTAATGTTTGTATATAGCTTAATCCTAATGTTTGTATATAGCTTAATCCTAATGTTTGTATATAGCTTAATCCTAATGTTTGTATATAGCTTAATCCTAATGTTTGTATTTAGCTTAATCCTAATGTTTTATATAGCTCCCAAATGACATTTTCTTTCCTTTAAGCTACTGCACCTCAAAGTTAGTGGTTCAAAGTTTGTTATTGATTTGGAAGACTTGAGTTCTAACTGATAAATCTAATAATTAGTTTTCAATTGTTAGCTCCCTAAAGTCCTGTATCAACTAGATTATGGTTGGTGTCAGAAATTAGATCCCCCCTTACTGGACAACAGGTTACTTTGCAACCATTCTATGGTGCCCCAATATTACTGCGCTGTATGGGTATATGACTGAATGGGTATGTGACTGAATGGGTTTGTGACTGAATGGATATGTGACTGAATGGGTATGTGACTGAATGGGTGTGTGACTGAATGGGTATGTGACTGTATGGGTATGCGACTGAAAGGGTATGCGACTGAAAGGGTATGTGACTGAATGTGTATGTGACTGAATGGGTATGTGACTGAATGGGTATGTGACTGTATGGGTATGTGACTGTATGGGTATGCGACTGAAAGGGTATGTGACTGAATGGGTATGTGACTGAATGGGTATGTGACTGAATGGGTATGTGACTGAATGGGTATGTGACTGAATGGGGTCTCTAGGAGTTGAGCATATCTGATTCTTATCCTTACACCTGTTTGGGTTCTAGGGAAAACAAGTACAGACCCCAACCGAAAGCATGTTGTAAGAAGCCACTGATTTGGAGCTTCCTTTGAAGTCAGAGTGCATCTGCCTGAGAGGCAAAGAACCAACAGTCTGCATACAGATACATCAGATCTGTAAAAGGGATGTGCATGCAACACGCAGGTACTGGAACAAGACTAAAGTACAGAAGTGGACGAACAACCAGAACTTTCCACCAGAGTTTGGTTGGGATAGAAACTTGTCTCTACAATAGTTAATTATTTAATCTGTGTTAGCTGCAGCCCATTCAACGCTGACTTTAGGAGTATTACAAAGTCATGCTTCAGTCTCTTCCATGCAGACGACCTGGTACTACTATACTGTCTGAGAGCCTCAAAAGCGTTAATTTAAAAAAAAAATTGTTTTTAAATCTTAAAAAAAACAAAAACCCAGCTTAGACAAGAACAGAAAAGACCCAAACCTTCAGCTCATGATAATCAATTTCTCTGTCCTTGTCTGTGTCAAACAGATCAAATGCTTCCTTAATTTCTTGTTTCTGTTCTTCAGTTAGTTCTCTTTTCTTCTTCTTTTTGTTCTTGTCCAGTGCAAAATCTGAGCTGTTAAACAAAAAAAAATAAAATTGAAATATTGCATGAACAAACAATGTATTGTACAATTTAGTGCCTAGCATTTCTCATTGTGTCTCATCAGGTGTTCTCATCACATAGCATGTCCTTTACAGAGCATCGCTTTCATCACAGCACGCCTGAAAACCTCTTTCTCTAGCCAGTTGTCCAGCCCTATGTGCTTTCATAGCCAATGCATCTTCAATGTCTTGTATCATCCTGAGTTGAGTTTCAAGAACCAACATTACAGCACTTAGACATTCCCATAAGCACACTGTTCCCATCTTCAGCAAACAGTAGCAGTAGCAGTCTGATTGTATGTCCGTCTTGCCTTTCCTCTGAGTGTGGGGTGATAATCTAATTGAGCCTCCACACTATTCACTCGCTCCCAAAGGGCCTTGACAACATCTAGCTCGTAACGCATCAGTTTATCATCAAGAGATGTAGAACCAGCCAGTCTTTCTGTCTGTTCATTTCTTAACACATTTGCATACCCCGGAGAAAGTATCCAAAGGAGTTAGGGTTAACCCTAACCCAAACACTAACCCTAACCCAAACACTAACCCTAACCCTAACCCAAACACTAACCCTAACCCAAACACTAACCCTAACCCAAACACTAACCCTAACCCAAACACTAACCCTAACCCAAACACTAACCCAAACACTAACCCTAATCCAAACACTAACCCTAACACTAACCCAAACACTAACCCTAACCCAAACACTAACCCTAACCCAAACACTAACCCTAACCCAAACACTAACCCTAACCCAAACACTAACCCTAACCCAAACACTAACCCAAACACTAACCCTAACCCTAACCCAAACACTAACCCTAACCCAAACACTAACCCAAACCCAAACCCTAACCCAAGCCCTAACCCAAACACTAACCCAAACACTAACCCAAACACTAACCCTAACCCAAACACTAACCATAACCCAAACACTAACCCAAACACTAACCCTAACCCAAACACTAACCCTAACCCAAACACTAACGTGAAGTATTAATAAATATTACAGAACATTATTACATGAACATACGCAAATATTGGATTGTGTCCCTTATGGTCCTGTAAACAAACAGACTGCTTCATGTTAGGGTTGCCATTAGGAGGAGTGCTCCCATTTTTGTCTTCAGTCTTCCATCTTTAAGGTTCCATTTCCTTCTTCTGCCTTTCTAACCCTCAATGGAGCATAGGCCCTCAACCAACTCAGGCCAAGTCGTTGTATCCTTCGCTATCCCTGCATCTCTCCCCAAGTTCCATAACTCACATCCATAAGTTACTACAGAAAAGATGCATCGAAATCTTTTTTAACTTTAACTTGTTTGCAGGTGTCATGCCATACGTTCTACATGCTGTTTTATCTCTTCATTGCTAAAGTGAGTCTTTTTCTGCCGCCCCCCCCCCCCCTCCCCAACCCCTTTTTCTGTGTAGTTGATTTTAATACATGGTTGGCTGACCAGGTCTGCTGTATTCAGGTGCACAACTAGAGTAATTTAATATATAATTAAGGGGAGACTAGAGTACCAGAGTTACCATTTTGGGGTAAATGGAGGAAAGTTGTTGTAGCTACAAAGTTTCGTGTGGATGGCAACACAGGCGGACAGTTTCTTATCACCTGGCAGTACTGGTGGCACAGCACTTATAGATTATAACCGTGTGCAATGACGCTGGTTCACATCTCCCGACTTTTCCTTTACTTTAATATATAATGAAGCACAAACAGGTTTTTCCCCCTAGGAAAAAAAAAAAGGTGCATTTCTAGAAAACAAAATTAGTGGTACTCATTGCAAAGTGCGTATCACAGAAACAGAAGCACTGAGGACATTTTTAAAATAAAAACAAAAGATTTTGAAATTGAAATGACTAACTAGTCTACTACAACTCTAAGCATGAAACGAGACATGACATACAAAATCACATATCCATATCAGATTAAAAGTGAATAAGTCACTGCCAGGAGCATTTCGTGTAATTTTTTAGAAAATATTTAAGGGATTCCCTAGCTTAGAATGAAAGTAGTCAACAGTTAATTATAATACTACTACTACAGTAGTCTACTGACCACCTTGTTGTTAATAATTCGTTCGTGCCCCGACATGTCTTGTCCTCAATAAGTCAATTTGAAGCAGACGAAACTCAAACATGAAGCGTTGATTAGTTTCCTTAATCTGCGCTTTCTTTTATCAATTCAAATATAAAATGCAATCAAACTTTTTACAGTTATATCCTTAATAATAAACTGGGTGTAACTTTCACAGCAGTAACTTCTAAATTACGATAACTACTAACCGAAAAGAAAGACTCATTTCTGCTGCAAGTCCAGTTGTATTGATACAATTCCGTAATATTTGTTGATTCCTATTTTTTAAAGAATACCACCTAACCACCGGCAAATTGAAGGATTGTTGAAAACAAGGACGTCCAATGTAAACCATGAAAAAGACGTATTTCAGAGAAGCCAAGGAAGCTAAGCTGGTGTTTATTCCAGTTTCGTCCTTTTAAGGACGACATTTTTTGTTTTTTGAAGCCCCACCCTGGCTTTTGCCAGGGGCCGCAATATAGGCAGGCCATAAATATGGCCAATTGTCTGAACGCGGTTTCTGGGACCTCTCCACGGCGATTCTCATCCACATGGTGGCACTTTGTGTCATCGGGTGTTTATCGCTTGTGGGGTAGAAAGTCAGTCAGTCAGTCAGCTGGGCTGGATTCCATTTATAATAGTTAAGAGGTTGTACAGGGCACAACGGAATGGATAATATACTGCGAGACCTATGTGAAATAAATTACAATGGCACAAAAGGACAATGATAATAGTGACGACTAATAAATTTAAAATAAAAATCTAAAGAAAAGGAACAATCATATTTCGTGACATGTCTCAAATCTTCAACATTAAGAACAGCAATTTTTTTCTCCCTATTGAAGAAATGCTATAACGAACTGAAACTATACGCCTAATCTACCACTTCTTGAATATTTGACTGTCCCATGACCTGTGAATTTCTTCTGTTTGTGGTCGGCTAAATACAAAGTAACGGATGCTGTCTTGTCAGTTCTTGATGATGTCTTCTATATGTTTGATTAGCCTGGCTCTCTAGCGTAGTTGGCTAAACCGCATTACGCGGTGACCGGGTGACGAACTCCTTTTTTTCCGGGTTCACTCCCGGGGGTAGGCAAAAAAGCCACATTTTCTCCCAGATTTACGGTATTTACAATGGAATCAAGGCCGAAAGGTTGCGATATCCATAATACCGTGCCTAAGGGTTAACAACTCATGGCTTCTGGATACTAAAACAAACAAACAAACAAATATGTTTGATTGTAAGTGCCTGTATCTGGGTGTCAAGGTCATTTAAACTGATTCGGTCTGCCTTCCTGTCCGAATGAGAGTCCAGTTTTTAATGTTCTAGACCTCTCTTTGAAATTTTACCGTGGCCCAATAAAATATTTCAGACATAATGTAGGTATTTATTCTGATACTTCGCCTGAATATTCTCGATGTTTTGTACTTGTATCTGTTTAGCATGTCTTTTATACATAGTATCAGTCTCTCCCACGTGTGCGTGTGTGCGTGCGTGTATGCGTGTGTGTGTTGTGTTGTGTGTGTGGGTGGGTGTATGTGGGTGTGTGTGTGTTGTGTATGTGTTCGGGTGATATGGGAATGTGATCCCGTAGTTTTTAATGTATCTGTGCTTTTGAACTTTGGTAGGAAATCATTCTTGTGTCCCGTTATTTGTGGATTATGTATGTTGATTTTACTGCCACTACTTTTTCCGTGATGGAAAGTGCGGAGTATGATTTCTATGGATGCACTGGTGGAAGGGAGGAAAACAGTGACGCGCACCCCGAGACCCTAAGACCAGTTGCTTCGCGGAGTGTCAGTCCAGTGCGGGGCGAATTATCATACTTAGTGCGTGGATAGCAACAGTCGCACGAAAAATATGGGTTTCTCAATAAAGGGGAATCACGCATAACAGGAAGCGACTGCAAGCGGGTGTGACAGACATAACAGACTTTAAGTCTAGCGTAATGGCCCTGCTAACAGAAATCAAGCTACAGAAAGAGCAGAATGCAGTAAGTGCCAACAAAGAGGAGACCAGGCGCAAAGAGCAGCACTACGCACCGACTCTACTCTTGTCAGAAGTCGCCCCAATTAAGAAAACGCTGAATCACGAACCACCACCACTCGGTTGCTGCTGAAGATGAGGACAGAGCGCTGAAGGGAATGTCCGGAGTGCTGGGAGGTCGACTCTTATTTAAACATTATACATCAAAACATTGATCATGACTATCGACGCAAAACTTTACCCGCGCATGTTTCTTTTCAGTGTTTCAATAAGTATACCCAAGGAGATAATGATGGACTTTCCTGCTAGCATCACGTTCAACATGTTCGATTTTCTTTTTCTACAATATAGACAGATATCGTCAAATTTGGCACTATAATTTCGTTTGGGGTTCTATTTAATCGGTCGCAATGATGTTTATTGGGTTCTTTTCTTTTATTTCACCTCATATGTAGAGCTTGAGATTTCGTAGGGAAATACACGAAAAACCAATATCCTTTAGAGATTTTAGTATTAGTCAGTATTAATTCCAAACCCTAGCACCCATTTAATTTTAGATTTTACAGAGAATTCCCTGCGAAATCTCGGAGCTGCGAGATGCGTGGGAATAAAAAAAAAGTTTATTTAATCATGTCGGGTATCATAGTAATATCCAAACAGCAGAAAGAATACATTAGTATAACGATATTACAAAGCAAAAATTCATTTTGGACACTTTTTTAAAAGCCCTACCAGTGTAATTATTTTTCGTTATTTACAAATTTTTCCAAAAATTATTATTTAACTTTTGTTGTTTTAATTGCGGATGGTCGTAAGACCAAAGACTGGCATATGACACTACAACATCTAGCTTGTGAATGGAAGTGGAGGCAGTCACTGCAGTCTTCCGCTGGCTTGGGAATCAACTGTACACACATGTCGTAATTGTAACTGACATACAGAGCATGTTGAGAGAGGTAGAGACACACATGCTCTATGAAAATAACAAACATCGCTTCAGTGGTCACGAGTAGTTAGGGTCATTTGACTGTTTTTTCCAGGAAATGCCGATGTATTCGGAAACGAACACGCAGATAGACTGGGTGGTTCTGCACAACTTGGTGGTGAACTGATGTATGACAAGCTAGATGTCCCATGGGCTTTTTGAGAGCGAGTAAACAGTATGGAAGCACACATGAATCCTCAAGGAGTGACGAAGGGTTCTGGCCGATGATGAACTCTCAGGGGGAAAGGTGAGATGGGTATACAATCAGACTGTTACCTGTACCATCATTATTACAACTCTGCTTGCAGTTGAAGATGGGGACGAAGTGCTAATGTAAATGTACCAAAGTGCTGTGATGTCGATTTTCAATTAAACTTTCAGATATAATTTTAAAACGGGTATAAAGTAGAAGGTAAAGTCGGGAGATGTGAACCAGCGTTATTGCACACGGTTATAAACCATAAGTGCTCTGCCAACAGTGCGGACAGCTGATAAGAAACTCTCTCCCTGTGTCACCGTTCGCACGTAACTCTGTAGCTACAGCGACGTTCCTCCATTTACCCCAGAGTGTCACCCTGGTACCCATTTCCTAGAGGCTGTGTGAACCCCGGGAACCGCCTGGTTTCGAACGCCGATCGTGGCTGCAGCAAGTCGCAGCTGGATTTGAAGGCGAGCCTACTATCGACTGCTCCTAACGGGTATAGAGCGAGTGGAAGACCTCGGAAAATATGGAGTGATGGCATTAAGAACAGCCTTACAGAAATGAAAATCAATCATCTTGGCAAAGTTCATCAACGAATGTTACATCTCTCCTCCGCCCCCCCCCCCCCCCCCCCCCGACACTTCACTGAGGCACAAGGTGAAAGAGAAGAAGAAGAAAAAGAAGAAGAAGAAGAGGATTTAATTTTAAATTTCAGTCAAGGGTAGCTACTCTCTATATCTTGCAAACAAACGATTTCTGCGGTTATAGAACTTGGTACCAAACCCACTTCCGAGCGAGACCCGCATTCTACAGTCTACAGTTCATTCCACACATCCAGGCTTCAGAAAAATCTGTCGCTAGAGTGGAAAATCTACTCCTGCCACACATCAGTGACATATGCAGATATCTGTGTATACAGGACACCTGGCTGAACTGTAATATTGACTGTTTCCAGTAATATGACAGTGAGTTTGGTTAAATTGATTTTCGAGGCTTTGTTTACATAACTACTTTTGGGTCAATGGTCACATGATATCATTGTTTTGGTTAGACTTGGGTGCAGGATTGCAGATTACATTTAACTCTTCGAGTCCCAGGGTGTTTAGCATTAGAGGCCCACGGGGTAGTGATGCAATTTTGAAATGACACAAGAGCAACACATTAAAACAGACCATACTGATTCAACTGCCGCGCAGCACACACATTTTATACATCAACAATCAAAGTGAAAGGGGATTGTTCAGGAAAGTGCTGAGGAATAATATTATAATGCCCAATTCTGCTTCAATGCTTCATCACAAATAAATTGTGTTAGTAGTAGTTAATTATTGGTTAATAAACAAACGGTATTGTTAGTGAAATTAGTAAAAAGAAATAATAATTGTTTCACTTACCACCATGGCACTCGAGGAAAACTGGATAAAATAAGTAGAAAATGAATCACAAGTGAACATGAACCAAATAGTAGTAATGTATAAATAAAATATGAATTTCCAATCTGTCCATTAGATCTCGTTCCAGAGAAACCTTTCAAAAATCATAATAGACACCATATTTTCGTAAAGAAAAATGACCTCCGAAAACAATTAGCATTTTCACCCAAAAAAAAACAAAACCCAACATTAAATAACACTAAGTTTGCTCATAATTTTATAGCTTATGTTCCCAAATAATAAGGGAATCACACTAGAGACCTAACTGACACTGAAGATTATGGCCTTTTTCGAGTATATTTACTTGTTATACCAGCTGACTTTGTTATTGTTTTAGGCTAAGCGTGAGGTATATATCAGAGCTATCCCTCATCAAAATTTAACTCTTATCAATGACTGAAACAAGCCTCATTCGTAACTTTCTTTGTCTAGCTTCGGATAAATTTTATAAAAGCATGTTTTTTTTCAAATATCAGACTTCTAAAGTCATGTCTAGTTGGCATGCATAAGGAAGTTACTCAGAAGCCAATATTGTTTTCACACAGACGGTAACTCAGTAAAGCTCACAAACATGCTACATTTTATGCTTATAACAATGTTTTCTAATAAGCCTGATGGT